CCCAGGGTGTAGCAGGAGTGTTCAGGGACTAGAATGAGAGATTACGGAGTGGAATGAAAGCCCCAGGGTGTAGCAGGAGTGTTCAGGGACTGGAATGAGAGACTACGGAGTGGAATGACAGCCCTGGGGGTAGCAGGAGTGTTCTAGAACTGGAATGACAGCCCTTAGGGGGTAGCAGATATGTTCTGGGACTGGAATGACAGGCTCCAGAGTGGAATGACAGCCCCAGGGTGTCCCAGACCACTCCTACTACCCCCAAGGACTATAATTCCACTCTGGAGCCTGTCATTCCAGTTCCAGAACACTCCTACTACCCCCAGAAGCTGTCATTCCACTCTTGGGCCTGTCATACTAGTCACAGATCATTACTGCTATCCCCAGGGGCTGTCATTCCACTCTGGGGCCTGTCATTCCATTTTCAGAATACTGCTGCTAGCCCCAGGGGCTGTCATTCCACTCTGTAGTCTCTCATTCCAGTCTCTGAACACATCTGCTACCCTCTGGGGCTTTTATTTCACTCTGGGGCCTGTCATTCCAGTCCATGAACACTCTTGCTACCCACAGGGGCTGTCATTTTACTCTGGGGCCTGTTGTCCAGTTCCAGAACACTTCTATTACCAGTCCCAGAGTCGTCTATTTGGGCCCAAAGACCCAGTTTGGACCCAGTTTCAACTCCCCACTCTGCCATGGGTTGCTGGGTGAGCCTGGGCCAGTCACAGCCTCAGCCTAACCTCCCTTACAGAATTCTTGCAAGGAATTCTACAAAAAATGCTGTTATTTCAGCAGATATCCTAATATGCCTTGCATGCATTCAGTATTCTAATATACTATTCTGAAAAAAGAAATACACTAAAATACATTAAAATAGAGAGGATTTAGTCCTTTTTGAGAATACATATGTGAGGACTATAATATGTGAGGAATATAGATCAATTAGTTTGTGATTGATTATGTGCTTTGCATTGTGTATAATGGTACTTAGTACTGGCTCTAGGTATAATGGTGTTTAGTAAAACATTTTTGTGCAATAAACCACTTGTATTTATTATTTAGTTATTATTTAGAAGTTATTATTTAGTTATTATTTAAAAATATGAGCATGGCATGGCATGGCAGTATCACACAGTCATGTAATGGCAAGACACCTGAGAAAAACATTGCCCCCCCCCCAAGCAAAAAGTTGTTAGCTATGGGGCTGATCAGAGATCTAATACTGAAGTTCTAAAACTTTGCCTGACACCAGGAATGAAGAGTTCAGCACCATATTTTAGAAATATTATACGCAAATCATAGAGGAGAAGAGGTTCTTTGGGAGAGATCACTCAGCTGCGCGATTTGATACATTTATATTAAAATCATCCATAGTTCATATTATAGAATGCCTACTTCCTTAAGAACTTATCCTATTGCCCTCACCTCTGAGATTAGTCGAGTGCCAACCCAGGAGAGGGCCTTCTCAGACATGAAACCAAAACTCTGCAACTGTCTCACCTGAGAAACTTACCTGACCCCTTCTATTGCCATCTTTCAACAGTGGGTGAAAACATTTTGGGGTGGTGTCTGGGGTTCCCTCACTGGACCCTCCTTCCTGTCATATATTTGAATTATTATTTTAATGTTTTTGTCTGTGATTTTTAAGTTGGTTTTGTTTTAATGGCATGTTTTAGTTTGTTTTTAATTTTCAAGATGTGTTTGAATATGCATTTAGGACCAAAAAGTGAAGTATATTTTTTTAAAAAATAAATATTCCACATTCCATATTGCTGATCAGGGAACAGGAAATGTGTGAGCAACAGCAGCTTTTCAGATTCTTCCCTATGAACTGATTATTGATGGGAACTCTGAATCAGGTTACTCTTTGCTGACTTGTTAAGCATTACTCTGCAGTGGGACAGAACCACAGGATTTGTGAAAATTCTTGTTCAGGATTTCAAAAATAAAATATGAGACATCTTTGCTACTGTGAGACAGCTACATAAAACCTCTCCATATCTCGACTAGCATATTCAGTTGTCCTTTCTTGCACTTTAATTCAAGCAGATATTTGTGCACTTTGGCTAAGTACATCCACTCCATTCCCAGATTAAGGAAATGCATTCACTGAATGGGAAAATCATACTACAATGTAATGAGGGCTCAGCTGCCATGTTTTTCCTTGCCCTGGGTTATATGGGTTTCCTGGCCACTGTTAGCTTCATGGTGGCTTTCCTAGCCAGGAAGTTACCAGATAGTTTCAATGAAGCCAAATTCATCACTTTCAGCATGTTGGTCTTTTGCAGTGTTTGGGTATCCTTTGTTCCAACCTACCTGAGTACAAAAGGGAAATCCATGGTAGCTTTGGAGATTTTCTCCATCTTAGTTTCAAGTGCTGGTTTACTTGGGTGTATTTTCCACCCAAAATGCTTCATCGTTATTCTGAGGCCTGAGTTGAACGGCAGGGAGCAGATAATACGGATAGAAAATTGAATAGAATATTCAACTTGTACCTGCAAGGTTTTTTTTAGTATGTGTGTCTTTGAAATGTCAAAAAACCATAATTACACACAGACAGAAAAAAAATTTAAAGCTAAATTACTGGGTAAATAAATGGCCACTACTTTTTATGTACAGCAAAATAATCCACAATATATGCTAAAACTGTTAAACTGCAACTCAGCTTTCAACACAGGTAAGGGTCACTGTCAGCACCCAGTGGAGTCAGGCATTCTGTCATCATTTTTAGATGGGCAACTCCATTCTAATTCAAAGTCCACAAACTGTTCAGGCTCTTTGTGGCCAAATATCTGTTGCTGTCTGTGGGCCATCTCTCTTCTCACTAGTCGTGGAACTAGTCCTGGTTCTCATGCTGTAGTTTTGCTCTTCCAAGCATGGATCTACTAAGAGGCTGTATGTGATTGTCTCAGACATCAGAGGTGGAGAGATGCCAATCATCCCAGTTTCCCCTACTCTCCACACACAACCATCTGCATCAGGTCACCCAACTGCAGAATCCTTGGGTCCGCCCTCCCCCGAAGGGCTCAGGGTGAGGTACATCATATTTCAAACATTCAATAGACTGAAGATATACGATAAATAGTAAAATTAATACAAAGCAATTAGATAAAATAATGACATCCACCAGATAAATTGATGGCATATAAAAATTCCTCTCCCTCCGTAGGGCAAATCATAGACTGGGCATGGTGAAGGCCCCGGTAGAAACCATTCCTATCTTCAATCATAGGCCTGGCAGAACATCTCTGTTTTATATTGTCTGTTGTCTGTGTCCCCCATGTCTTTGGGTTCACTCTCCAACTGCCAAGGCATCCCTGAAGAGGGTAGGACATCATTCTCTCTTTAGGTAACTTTGTGAGGCTGTGTAAGGGAGTAATTTTGCAGAGTTCTGTGAGTAGGTTGATTCTTGGCCCAAAAAACTAGGAATGTGTGATAGCTGTTAATGAAGATTTTTATATTCATATTGGATATTTATAACATTTTGGTATCTGGTCATTACCCACACCTTGGACCTCTAAACATTTAAAAGAAATACATTTGTATTGAGGATTGTGACAACTCCAAGACGGTGCTATCCCAGAAGCATAACACCAAATAAGCTTTGCCATTTAATGCATACGTTAGGCTGTTCACAGATAACTTCTATCTCATGGTTTACCTATGTAATAATTTCCATCATGCTACCACCCCAGTTTTGGGCTCTCCATTCAATCTCTTACACTTATGGTTCTGAAACTTTTGGCATTTCTAAACTTGAGGTTTATTGAAAAGGTAGAGAAAAGCCTAGACATTTGTCAGTTCCGTTGTTTGTTTGACAGGATGGTTCCCATTTTTGATGTTAGTAATCCAAGGTAATTTACATTGACTAAATAACCACAATGTGACCTCATGGGTGGTGTATGACATTAAAACAAGTTGGCTGCCTGTCAAGATAGTTCTCAAGTAGGACTTAAAAAACTGAGCAAAGCAGGCAACTTTTGAATCAGCTTTTAATCCTGTACATTTGACAGCATTTCATTTTACAGACATCACCACCTGATTACAATATTTAGCTCCATGCCATGAAAAGTTGAACCACCTCATTTTTTCAGACCAAATATTGATTTTTCTACTCATTTTGAAATAAGCTCAGAATCAAACTTTGGTTCTAATTATGGAATTTGACTTGGATTCACCCAGTTCTTTCATTAGATCTTCCAGAACTCTCCTGATTAGTACAGCCTCCAGTAAAATGGCTGTTGGCTATTCATGTCCCATGATCCCCACAATAGTCTCTCTGGGTGCATAAAGGGACATCATTTTTTTCACTTGCAAAAAATAGTGGTTAAATCAAACCCTTTAGTTTTCATGTGTCCCTGGGTCTTAAAAATACCTATAATTATTTCTAAAGTTAGAATATGAGCATGTGCTTGTTTAATTAAATGATCCTGATGTGAAATTGCCAACTGAGCCTCAGACAACTACAATCACCATCTAACTAAGAAGGAGTTTCACTATCAAAATTATCACTTTCCAGCTACCTAATAGATTTCCAGAAGCTACTAGTGAACTAAATAAATTACCGTGTCTTTAAAATGCTATAAAATTCCCCAACACTAAAAGTGTTGAATGTCAAGAAAGGCTGGGAACTGGTCATCCGTTATGTCATCATTTCCACTTTATTTTTTCAAAGGATTCCTCCCATTGATTCACCCACATATTTTAACAACGAAATGTACATGCATTGAGTAAAGCTACATTTGATCCCTTCTTTTTCCTCTTTATTCTTCAAGTTCCCGGTAACTCCAAAAAGACTATTAAGTAATGCATGCACACACTACCTTATGCTGAGGTCCTATATATTCTTTAGGCCCAGCTTTTTGGATGATTTTCATATTGGTCATTGACCGCCCACACCAAATAATGTAATTTGCATTTTAAAGAGAACCTGTTTCTGATTTTTCATTTCCATGTTTTTTTCTTCAGAACCAGGCAAAAATATTGATACATCTATGAGGGTTATTTCATTCCAGGAAACATCCTGGGCCGCAGCAATAGTTAGTTCATCCAGAGAAAAGGCAGAGAAATGATACTGCACAGACACCTCAAGGGACAAGAAATAACACAAAGATTAAAAGAACAATGCAACCTTGCTTCTGAGATTGCCTTATAGGCCAAGCTTTTCAAGCAGCTGAACAACAATTTCACATGTCAAGGAAGCTGTAACAAAACTAGTGCTGGATACAAAATGATTTAAATGGAAAGTGGAATCCATATCTGGTAAGAAAAGATTTGTCATCAGGATGGTGTTGATACTGCTATTGCTTGTCATACTGCTTCCTCATAATGTATGCAAGATGCATTCCATTAATTGCGCTGCAGATGATGACCCTCTGCCTATTCCTCATGAATTTTACCAGCCAGGTGACCTCCTCATTGGTGGGATTGTCTCTCAGGTCTTCAACTTCCACAATACTCCTGATTTCACACTGCAACCTGCTCAGATGTTGTTTAATGAGCATATGTAAGATATTCTTTGAAACTCCTTATATTATGGCATGTTAGAAGATACAAGAACTTTGGGTCACAAGACATGTACAATCTAAACTTTGAAATATGGGAAACAACAAAAAATGAAGGATATTGTGGTGGGGATAAAGAAATGTAGGCTTGGTTTTAGGAGGATAAGAAAATCAATGAATATGGCAAAGTGTTCATGGAACAATTATGAGCTGAAGAGGAATTTAAAGGAAGTTGGAAAAATGGCACCATGTAGGAGTTCTATGATGAAGGTCCAAGGAAAAGAGACAAGAGTTGTGAAAGAGTGGAGGACGGGAATTCTTTGGGGGGAACTTCATGTTTCATGACTATGCTGTACACCGCTCTGAGCCCGGCTTACCAGAGGAGGGCGGCTGAAAAATCCAATTAAATAAATAAAGCTTTAAAAGGGGGATAAGACTACTAGTCATGGTGACTGGGGAACTTCCACATTCAGAGGCACTAGACCTCTGAATCCCAGAGCCAGGAGGAAACATCAGATGAAGGCATCAGCCTCTATGCCCTGTTGCTGGCGCTCCAGAGGAACTGATTGACCACTGTGTGAGATAGGATGCTGGACTAGATGGATCACTGCTCTGATCTAACAGGTCTCTTCTTATGTTATGTTCTAAAAGGGGGAAAGAAAAATTCCTAAATAATAAGTCCATCACTTGTGATATCCCACAATGGTTAAATCAAACATCCCTGCTTGGAACACTAGTGCTAGGAGGTATGGGAGGGGTGGAATTCTGGCCTTCATACAATGTTTTTACATAGGTCTTCAGGGGGCTTTGCATGGCAGATATTATGTTCACATGTTGTTTTGGTCAACACCCTTTGACTCTCATTGCAGCTCAGTACCAAAGAACTACCAGCATAACTTGGCTTTGGCATTTGCAATAAAAGAGATTAATGATAATCCCAGTCTTTTACCTAACTTCACATTGGGTTTCCACATCCTCAACAGCTATTATGTCCCACGGATGACCTACAAAGCCACCCTCAGCTTGCTTTCCACCCAGTGGAAGTTTATACCGAATTTCAAGTGTGATACGCAAAACAAGCTTGTAACAATCATTGGAGGACATACCGCTGACATTTCAGTCAATGCAGCTACTATTATTTCCATCTACAAGATACCACAGGTAAGCAATTCCTCAAGGCAAATGTAAATTCCAGAGGAGGGACTTTGGCTCACAAACAGAGCATCTGCTTGGCATGCACGAGGTCCCAGGTTCAAGTCCCAGTATCTCCAGTTAAAAGGATCAGGTACGAGGTGATGTGAAAGACCTCAGCCTGAGACCCTAGAGAGCCACTGCCTGAGTGGACAATACTGACTTTGATAGACCAAGGGTCTGATTAAGTATATGGCATGTTCATGTGTTTACCTTTCACAAAGATTGTCACATTCAGTGGTAATCCTTTAAAAAAAATACAATCTCATTTCTTTCAGCTCACTTACGGAATATTTTCACACGAGTATGGTGAGGAGATGCTATTTCCTTATCTGTATCAGATGGTCCCAAATGAAGCCTCTCAATTCATGGGAGTTGTCCGCTTACTTCAGCATTTTCGATGGACATGGATTGGGCTTGCAGCTACCAATGACGATGAGGGAGACAGATTTTTAGAAACCATTGCACCATTGCTTACTGAGAATGGTATTTGTTCTGCCTTCACATTAAGATTCCCCAAAATAACTTATCTGCCAGAAGCAATAGACATGATTTTGGGAAAAGGTGATGCTTACGCAGTTCACAGTAAGACCACAGCTAATGTATATTTTGTGTATGCCATACCTGCATTTATGTTTCTTTTGAGACTGTTCTTGTTTCTAGGACCCTTTGTGTCATTGCCACCTGTGCATAAAGTGTGGATTCTTACATGCCAATGGGATTTTGCATCCTTTTCCTTTGAAAAGAACTGGGATGTAGAAAGTTTCCATGGGGCCATATCCTTCACAGTGCACTCCAATCAGCCACCTGGGTTCCCAAAATTCCTTCAGGACATCAGTCCTACCTGGGCAACAGGAGATGGTTTCATGAAGAACTTCTGGGAGCAGGCATTCAGTTGTTCATTGAAAAATTCGGATGTTCTTGGGGACAGCAACAAAACCTGCACTGGTGACGAGAAGTTGGAGAGCATTCCAATGATTTTGTTTGAAATGAGCATGATGGGCCACAGTTACAATGTCTACAATGCTGTCCATGCTGTGGCCCATGCTTTACATGGCATCTACATCTCCAGATCCAAGCACAGAAGACTCGCAGGAGGAGGGAATGTGCAACTATGGCAGGTATTTACACCTTCATGACACAACACTATTATTAATATAGGCTGTCACAGATAGATGGAAGTCAACCTGTCACTAACCTTTAAAGCATTCCGCAGAAACTGTAGTCATTCAGTGTTCCACATGTTTATTTTATTTATTTATTTATTTATTTGATTTTTATCCCGCCCTCCCGCCGAAGCGGCTCAGGGCAGCTTACAACATTAAAACCAATAAAACAATGCCTCTAAAACAATCTATAACAGTACAATAAAATCGCTATTTACACACAGTACAACATACCCATGGCGGCAACTATAAAGTGCAATTATGCTTAGTCTGAGTTGTTAAATGCTTGGTGGAATAGCTCCGTCTTCACCGCTCTCTGGAATTGGCAAAGATCCCGGAGAGCGCAGATCTCATGAGGGAGCTGGTTCCATAACGTTGGTGCAGCCAAGGAGAACGCCCTAGTTCTAGTAGTTGTTAGTTTGGCATCCCTAGGGCCAGGGGGGACTAGCCGGTCCTGCGACCCAGATCTCAGTGCTCTCGGGGGAACGTACGGGGAAAGGCGGTCCCGCAGGTAGGCAGGCCCCAGACCATAAAGGGCTTTAAAGGTCAAAAACAGCACGTTGAAGCGTATCCGGAATGCTATTGGCAGCCAGTGCAGCGCCCTCAGCACCGGTTGGATGTGTTCCCTCATAGGGGCACCCATCAACAACCTAGCTGTGGCATTCTGCACCAGCTGCACCTTCCGAAGTTGCCCCAAGGGCAGCCCCATGTAGAGAGCATTGCAGTAACCCAACCTCGAGGTAACCATCACGTGGATCACTGACGCCAGATCATTGCGTTCGAGGAAGGGGACCAACTGCCTAATCAGCCGTAGATGGTAAAAGGCTGCCTTGGCAGTGGCTGCTACCTGGGCCTCCATTGTCAAGGAAGCATCCAGGAGCACTCCCAAGCTCTGGACCCTCGGAGCTGGCACCAATGGCGCCCCACCGAAGGCCGGAAGTGGGACCCCTACCCCCGTACCGCTCCGATTCAGGCATAGGACCTCCGTCTTCGTCGGATTTAGTTGTGTCAAAGATACTTTCTTCAGAAGATGGATGTCTGCTCCTACATCTGTAATGAGAATGAAGAAATGAGAAAGTTTTTGTAAAACATAACCAACATACATAAAAGTATAACAGAAGTAATCTAGGCCTTGTTAAGCAAGGACCTCACAAAAGTTACAGTGCACTCCTAAGCAAAGTTACACCCTTTGAAGTCCTTGAAGTCAAAGAAGGGTGTCACTCTGCTTAGAACTTTAGTGTTATGTTAATCAGCCTTTCATTATCCTTTTGCTTCCCCCCCCCCATCAATTAGATTCATCATTTTCTGAAGAATATGATGTTCAACAACAGTGCTGGAGATACTCTGTCCTTTCATGAAAATGGAGAAATGAAAACTGGATTTGATGTGACAAACTGGGTAACATTCACTAATGGCTCTTTTGCTAGAGTAAAAGTGGGGCGATTGGATCCCTGGGCACCTGCAGGGGAAGAGTTAACGCTTAGAGAAGATCGAATTGTGTGGCATAAAAGCTTTACCCAGGTGAGACATAGAAGCAGACACTGAACTCTGTAAAAGAATGGGGAGAGGGAATCTATTTAGACTTCTGCCTACCTTTTTGGTGATTTGAAAGATACAGTAAACTTAAGATTGTCTGAATTTATCTTTAAACAGCCTCTTTAAAAAGTGAGTTTCAATTTGCACTGTGCCAGGTATTAAAACCACACATATAATATACAGATGCTTGCAATGTTCTGAAAATGCTGACTATGAAAGGTAAGTTGTCCCATGAATATATATTTTGTATACATATCATTTCTTAAGTATTGTGTCCACTTCAGTATACATTTCTTGAAAATAAATACTGCCTTCTTGTTTTATGATCTGCTTTTGCCATTTAAACCATATGTAACACTTCCAGAACCATTTTAGTAATTCCAGTTTTGATTGTGTTAATATTTCACGGATAATCTCATCATCTAAACCTTTTTTAAAAACAAAAAAAGATAAAACAGTGGAGTGGAAAATAATGCAGTACACCACTTTGAGTTTCTACATAGAGAAAAGCCAGAAATAAGCACCTAAACAAATGAATCAAACCAGGACCTAGTGTCCTCATAGTAAAAGTACACACACACCATGGAGTCAGAACCATGAGGTCATAGACATCACAGAGACAATAGGTTTTACTTGCATTATATCAGTATGAAAATCCCAAACCTTTTTTGATCCATTTGCTCTTCACAGGGGACTGTTATAAAAATGCATAAGTGCTTTGATAGTTATCCAATGAAAAGAATAAAGGAAAGAATGCAGAATGATCTATTTATCAATAGCTGAAAATAATGCAAACATGAACAAGAAAGACAAAGAATATGAAGTAATATCTTCTCCATTCCCTCCCCCCCCTCAAAGAATCAAAATGAATATTAACAGTATAGATACTAAAATCCAGAGGCTGGAGCCATGACCAGACAAGCCAGATCTTTCTACAAACCTGAGAAAAAAACCTAGTTTTGCAAAATATTTTAAAATCTTAAAAAAAAACTTCACTGGGGAGTTAAGATCCTCCCCCAAAAAAGCCCTTAATAAAAGCAGCACTTCTACTTTTAAGATCTCAGAGGCCCCTTTTTTTGGGGGGGTGCTATGCAACCACAAAAATATTGCCAGCCTTCAGCCCTCAGTTTCTGTCAGTTTCTGTCAGTAGGTAGGTCTCCTTTCAGGACTATTTGGGGTGCCGATTACTCCCCAGGACTGACTATCTATCTATCTATCTATCTATCTATCTATCTATCTATCTATCTATCTATCTATCTATCTATCTATCTATCTATCTATCATCTATCTAT